CAAAAAAGCTCGTAAAAAATTAAATTTGGCCAAAATGAGGCCCAAAAATGACATTTTGTTAAATTCTCCCTAATTTGCCACAATTTACCAGCTTTTATGAATCTACCTTGTTTTTTTTTTTAAATTTGGCCAAAATATTGAGAATTTCAGCAAAATTTCATCATTTTTTGGCCTCATTTCGGCCAAATTTTAAAAAAGAAAATAAAAGGTAGTTTCATAAAAGCTGGTAAATTGTGACAAAATATGGAGAATTTCAGCAAAATTTCATCATTTTTTGGCCTCTTTTTTGCCCAAATGTAAAAAAATAAAATAAAAGGTAGTTTCATAAAAGCTGATAAATTGTGACAAAATTTGAAAAATTTCAGCAAAATTTCATTATTTTTTGGTCTCATTTTGGCCAAATTTAAAAAAGAAAATAAAAGGTAATTTCATAAAAGTTGGTAAATTGTGACAAAATATGAAGAATTTCAGCAAAATTTCATCATTTTTTGGCCAAATTTAAAAAAAGAAAAAAGGTAGTCTCATAAAAAACTGGAAAATTGTGACAAAACCTGGAGAATTTCAGCAAAATTTCATCATTTTTGTTAAAAAACAAAACAAGGTAGATTCATAAAAGCTGGTGAATCGTGGCAAATTAGGAAGAGTTTTAGCAAAATTTCATTTTTGGGCCTCATTTTGGACGAATTTAAAAAAAAGTAAAAAAAAAAGGTGGTAAATTGTGACAAAATCTGGAGAATTTAAGCAAAATTTCATCTTTTTTTTTTTTTTTTTACATTCATTTTTGTTTTTTTGTTTTTTTTCAGATAAATAAAAAACAGATTGAAAATAAAGGGAAAAAGGAAAAAAAAAAAAAAAAAAAGTGAAGCAACAGTATGCAGGCCTGTTTTTAAGAAAAAAAAAAAAAAAAAATTCAGCTACAATTCACGTTGCATTCAGTGAGAAGACTGTGTGAATCCTGGGTGAAAGTTGTGAGAATCTTCTGTAAAAAAATTGTAAATAGACCCCCCCCCCCAAAAAAAAAAAAAAAAAAAAACACAAAATAGCACCATATGAAATAAAAGAAACTACCCTAAATTATTATTATTATACAGGATTTATGGCGACAACAGTTTGCTCAGCGCTTTACAGTATAATGGGAGACAGTACAGCAACAATACAGTTCAATACAAGAGGGAAAGGAGGGTCCTGATCCTTGGAGCTTACAATCTAGGGGGGGAGGGGCTGGTGATACAAAAAGGTAGTAACTGTGGGGGATGGACTGGTTGGAAGAGTAGAAGATTCCATTATTAGCTGAGGGCAGGATAGGCTTCCCTGAAGAGAGAGGTTTTCAGAGATCGCCTAAAAGTGAGCAGAGTAGGTGACAGTCTGATAAATTGGGGTAGAGAGTTCCAGAGGATGGGGGAAGCTCTGGAGACGAGCATGGGAGGTGGAGACAAGGGAGCTAGAGAGCAGGAGATCGTGCGAGGAGCAGAGAGTACAGTTTGGGTGATATTTGGAGACAAGATTGGTAATTGGTAAGATTGGCAAGTAATTTGGGGCGGAGTTATAAATGGCTTTATATGTTATTGTTAATGTTTTGAATTTTATCCAATGTCTCCCCCCACCTACACCCCCCTTCCCGAACTGAAGAAAACAATCAGAAAAAGTAATTTTTTTTTATGTATTTTCTATGAGCGTCGGCTCCAGCTTGTGGTCATAATGCAGTATTTTCCTGATTGCGGTATTGGCCACTAGATGGAGCTGACAATCATAGGAAATACATAGTAATTGACAGGTATAGGTGAATCAGAGTGACTTGGGAGCCACAGGTGTGATAATTACTAGAGGATCGCAAACATGAAACGCATAACTACAACTGTGTTGGAAATATCTGCAAATATATGTTGCGCTCCTAAATACTTCTCAATAAATAATAATAATTAAATTATTAACATTAAATTAATTCAAATTATGATACAAATAACTAATAAAAGTGTATAAATACCAAAGAATATTTAAATAGATAATTTCAGCTAATCAATCTCCTCCCAATAAATATCAAAATAATTCCACATGAAATACTCCTCTAAAAAAAATATTTTGCCAAGTGCTCATAAATCATCTATTAGTGACACGATGTACTTACTAATACCCTCAATTTCATTTGTATTCATAATACCCTCATTTAACCGCTTGCCTACCGGGCACTTATACCCCCTTCCTTACCAGGCCAATTTTCAGCTTTCAGCGCTGCCGCACTTTGATTGACAATTGCGCGGTCATGCAACATTGTACCCATATGAAATTTTGATCATTTTTTTCTCACAAATAGAGCTTTCTTTTGGTGGTATTTAATCGCCACTGGGCGCTTTACTTTTTGCGCTATAAATTAAAAAATGCAAAAAATTTAAAAAAAAAAAAAAAAAAAAAAGTTTCTTTGTTTCTATTATAAAATTTTTCAAACAGGTATTTTTTCTCCTTCACTGATGTGCGTTGATGAGGGAGCACTGATGGGCACTGATAGGCGGCACTGATATGCAGCACTAAAGGGCACTGATAGGCAGTACTAATGAGGTGGCACGGATAGGCGGCACTGATAGGCAGCACTAATGAGGTGTCACGGATAGGCGGCACTAATATGCAGCACTGATAGGCGGCACTGATAGGTGACACTGATGATGGGTACAGATAGATGGCACTGACTGGCATCACTGCTGGGCACTGACTGGCGGCACTGACTGGCACAACCGCTGGACACTGACTGGTGGCACTGACTGGCAGCACTGCTGGGCTGTACTGGTGGGTGGCACTGGTGGGCAGCACTGGTGGGTGGGCACAGGTGGGTGGCACTGGTGGGCACAGGTGGGTGGCACTGGTGGGCACAGGTGGGTGGGCACAGGTGGGTGGCACTGGTGGGCACAAGTAGGTGGCACTTCTAGGCACAGGTAGGTGGCACTGCAGAGTGGCACAGGTGGGTGCACTGCTGGGCACAGGTGGGTGCACTGCTGGGCACAGGTGGGCGGAGCTAGTGGGCGCACTGCTGGGCTCAGGTGGGCGGAACTTGTGGGTGGCACTGCTGGGCACCGATCATCAGGGCACTGATCATCAGTGGCCCTGATGATCAGTGCCGATCCCCGCTCTGACAACTGCCGGTTCTCGGCAGTACTTTCCTCACGATCTGACAGCGTGAGGAAAGTGCAGCCGAGAACCGGCACTTGCATTTCCCTGTGATCAGCGTGTCATTGGACACCGCTGATCACGTGGTAAAAGGCCGGCCTTTTACCACATCTCGTGATCAGCTGTGTCCGTAGGACACAGCGATCACGGAGATCGCCGGGTGCGCGCCCCCTGGGGCGCGCAGGAGAGCGCGTTCTGGGGGGACGTCATATGACGTCCACCCAGAACTGGCCGGCCGCAGTGAAGCCGTCATTCGGCTATCTGCGGTCGGCAACAGGTTAATATAATAAAAATAGTGAACCAACTAATAACCCTCAACTAAAACGCATTTAAATGATCCCCCATAAATAAACATAACCAAATGCTCATAAATAATTAGTAGTGATTAGTATGAATCCAAATATCATCAAAATAATAGTCCCATTGAATAAACAATTGTTTGTATATAGTGACTTGGTGCTTGTTGTTCTTCAATTTGTGACTTTTGTGAATCCTTCAAATAGTGAAGATGTGCGCTCACCTCCCCCGATGCCTGCAATTAGGCTATACACGCTTTCCGTTCACTTTCCCTGGAACCTGCTGGACATATACTTTTGCTGGTAAAATTGGGAGATCCTTCCTTTAGGAGTAATGGATGTATCCTCTGGTGGCTGATTATCCCCTCAGGGATTACACACTCCTTTTGTTATCTCAGACCTCCTAATTATCCTCTCCTTGTGTTACTCCGCATACAGGAAGAGATAGAGGACATAGTGCTTTACCTTTTAAAAACTTTTTATTCCCACCATCCAAGTATTAAACTCACATTAGACAGGTTTAAGTAACGCAATATCCCAATGGAAATCCTCCGCTGGCCTCTGAGTACTGAGCGTTTTAGTTGAGGGTTATTAGTTGGTTCACTATTTTTATTATATTAAATGAGGGTATTATGAATACAAATGAAATTGAGGGTATTAGTAAGTACATCGTGTCACTAATAGATGATTTATGAGCACTTGGCAAAATATTTTTTTAGAGGAGTATTTCATGTGGAATTATTTTGATATTTATTGGGAGGAGATTGATTAGCTGAAATTATCTATTTAAATATTCTTTGGTATTTCTACACTTTTATTAGTTATTTGTATCATAATTTGAATTAATTTAATGTTAATAATTTAAATATTATTTATTGAGAAGTATTTAGGAGCGCAACATATATTTGCACATAGTAAATGACATTTCACGCATTTTACAAACCTTGCAGGGATCATTCCTGACCTTTGCACACGTGTCGAGACATTTGCACAGCGATTTATTTTTTATAAAAAGAGTTTTAGGGACAGGTCAAAGCAAAGCATTGCAGCTGCGGCATGTGTGCATCTCTATCCAGCAGCCTAAAGGGGGGGGGAGCCTTAAAAATGAGGCTCAACTACACACTATTACTGCCCCCCCCCCCCAACCGCAAGTGTAAACTAAGCCTTAAGGTGCATTATCATCCTCTGCACGATGAATCCTGGTGTATTTATTTATTTCAGGTACTTATATAGAGCCGTCAATTTACGCAACACTTTACATATATATTGTAATTCACATCACTCCCCGCCCCCGAGGAGCGTACAATCTAAGGTCCCTAACTCACATTCATACATACACATACTAGGGAAACTGGAGTACCCGGAAGAAACCCACACAGGCACAGGGAGAACATGCAAACTCCAGGCAGGAGGTGCCGTGGTTGGGATTCAAACTGACCCCAGTACTGCCAGGCAGAAGTGCTAACCATTTAGCCACTGTGCTGCCCTATGGGTTATATCCTGTAAAATGAGGTCCCAGTTCAGGACGGCCCATTGCCAAGCTCCTACCTTCTCCAGCTCCTTAACGAGGACCCCAACCATTACATTCCCGCTGTAGGGGTTCCGGTCCAAACTCTTGTGTAAGGTCCATCTCAGCATTCCTGTCGGAGAGCATAGAACAACCGTTATTTAGGGGAACACCCCCATTAGTTTCCTTTTATTTAAATCTCAGTGGATCACAGCCTGTTAGGAATACAGCATTCAAAGACTGATTGTTCTGTTGGACTCCTGTACACACAGGGACATTGAACCCGGGCTCACCGCGCTAGGAAAGCACCAACACGTGTTTTTTGGAACAAGCTGACTTTTGGGTCACATTCAAGAGATGCTGAGTCTATAACAGTGGTCTCCAAACTGTGGCCCTGGGGATAGATGCAGCCCCTTGCTTTCTTTTATCTGGCCCTAGGGGCATTATTCCATTCACTGACACATACAAAGGGGCATAGTTCCTCCAACTGACCCCAGTAAAGAGGCACAATTATTATCAATGACACCAATGAAGAGGCACATTTCCTCCCAATCACACCAATGATGGGGCACTATTCCTCCCACTGACACCAGTGATGGGGCACTATTCCTCCCACTGACACCAGTGATGGGGCACTATTCCTCCCACTGACACCAATGATGGGGCACTATTCTTCCCAATGACACCAATGATGGGGCACTATTCCTCCCACTGATACCAATGATGGGGCACTATTCCTCCCACTGACACCAATGATGGGGCACTATTCCTCCCACTGACACCAATGATGGGGCACTATTCCTCCCACTGACACCAATGATGGGGCACTATTCCTCCCACTGACACCAGTGATGGGGCACTATTCCTCCCACTGACACCAGTGATGGGGCACTATTCCTCCCACTGACACCAATGATGGGGCACTATTCTTCCCAATGACACCAATGATGGGGCACTATTCCTCCCACTGATACCAATGATGGGGTACTATTCCTCCCACTGACACCAATGATGGGGCACTATTCCACCCACTGATACCAATGATGGGGCACTATTCCTCCCACTGATACCAATGATGGGGCACTATTCCTCCCACTGATACCAATGATGGGGCACTATTCTTCCCACTGACACCAATGATGGAGAACTATTCCTCCCACTGATACCAATGATGGGACACAATTCCTTCCACTGACACTAATGATGGGACACAATTCCTCCCAATGACACCCAAGAACAGGGCACTATTCCTCCTACTGATACCAATGATGGGGTACTATTCCTCCCACTGACACTAATGATGGGACACTATTCCTCCTACTGACACCAATGATGGGGCACTATTCCTCCCACTAATACCAATGATGGGGCACTATTCCTCCCACTGACACCAATGATGGGGCACTATTCCTCCTACTGACAGCAATGATGGGTCACATTTCTTCCCACTGACACCAACAATGGGGATTGTTTGCTCCCACATACCCCAGGGCATTTTCTACTTCCACTGACCACAGTCCAGCTCCTCTTAAAGTGATACTAAAGTCTTCTATTTTTTTCTTCTTTTTTTTTTAAATACATGTTATAATTACCTGCTCTGTTTAATGGTTTTGCACAGAGCAGCCCCAATCCTCCTCTTCTCGGATCCCCGCCAGCGCTCCTGGCCCCTCCCTCCTGTCAGGTGCCCCCATAGCAAACAGCTTGCTATGGGGGCACTTGAGCAGGCGCGCCCCCGAGCCACAGCGTTGCGTGTCTATTCACACACAGAGCCATGGCTTGGCCCCGCCCCCTCCCACTCCTGATTGGTGGCTGTGATTGACAGTGATTGCTGCCAATCAGGAGTTAGAGTCCCTGGAGAACTGAGGCACTCATGGACGTCGCTGGATCGGAATGGGGCTCAGGTAAGTGTCAGGTGGGGCTGCTACACACAGAAGGTTTTTTTACCTTCATGCATAGAATGCATTGAGCCTTTAGAACCACTTTAAGTCTGAAGCTTTATTTAACTACTTTACCCCCTTCATGACCGGGCATTTTTTTGTTATTCGGCACTGCGCTACTTTAACTGGCAACTGCACGGTCATGCAACACTGTACACAAATGAAATCTATATCATTTTTTTTTCCACGCAAATAGAGCTTTCTTTCTTTTGGTGGTATTGAATCACCACTGGGGTTTTTTATTATATGAATGAAAAAAGACCAAAAATTATGAAAACCCCCCCAATATTTTCTACTTTTTGTTATAATACATATCCAATATAAAAAAATCTAATTTCTTCATAAAAAAAATGTAAAAAAAAAAAATTCCCAGTAAGTGTAGCGTTTACAAACTATGGAATATATACTGGAATTTACGCAGCTATGACGCTATACTGGTAATGGCGATGATCAGCGACCTATATTGGGACAGTGATAGTGTGGCGGGCAATCTGGCACTGGCTGGGAGGGTCACTAACTGTCACTGACGTCGCTAGTGACAATAATACAGTGATTAGTGATAATACTGTAGACTGACCATTTGGAAACTCGGGCACTGCCCGAGGGCCCGGGGTCAGTATGGGGCCCCATGAGATGCCCCTGGTACCTTTTTCATAGGCTTTTTTTGAGCTTGGGCAAGGACACAGGGCCCCATGATCCCCTATTGCCCGGGGGCCCCATGAGTTGTCAGTCTGCCCCTGCTGACAATGTACTAATGACACTGGCTGGGAAGGGGCTAACATCTAGGGGTAATCAAGGGGTTAACTGTGTGCCTAACAATGTCTATTGTGTGCTGCCTTTACTTCACTATCTGGCTGTTTATTCTCCCTGCTTTTCAGGGAGAGGAAACAGCCAGATCGCTGTTCACAGTACAGGACCTGTTCCGTGATAGGACACAGCACCAGTTTGCCAGCTGATTTCAACCAGTGATTTTGGCTGAAGTCAGCTGATTGGCTGTAGCCAATCACACACAGAATTCTGTGTTTACAAAAACACAGAATTCTGTCCAGGAAACAGCAATCTGGGAGAGAAAAAAAACAGATAGTAAAACAGAAAGTAAAAGCAGCACATATTACACGCATTACACATGTCAGACACACAGCTAACCCTTTCATTGCCCTTAGATGTTAACCCCTTCCTAGCCAGTGTCATTAGTACAGTGGCAGTGTATAGTATTAACACTGATCACTGTATTAGTGTCACTATTGATTTCAGTGTGCCCCCCAGCCAGTGTCTGTTAGTGCCAGATTGCCCGCCACACTATCACAGTCCCACTATAAGTCGCCGATCACCGCCATTATCAGTATAGTGTCTATAGATGCGTAAAACCAAGTAATATACACTTATTGGGATTTTTTTTACCAAAGACATGTAGAAAAATACATTTTAGCCTAAATGTATAAAGAAGCTAATGTTTTTTATTGGATATATTTTATAGCAAAAAGTAAAAATAATGGGTTTTTTTTTACATTTTCTGACTTTTTTTGTTTCCAGTGGGGTGGCAAGGACTGCCACACACGAGAACAAGCTCACATCCAGAAGGTTGGAATCCTTCTCCTTCCTCCCCATCAAACCTCCCATCCCCCCACCAACCTACCTGGGTCAGACTGCAGTGCTGCATGCTGGCCATCAAGGCCCCGGAGGATGGCTTGCACCTTCTGATGGACCATGTCTGCCTCGGTTGCTGAGAAGCAGAAGAAATATCATTTAGTGTTTGTTATTTATTTATTCATTACAGGTACTTATATAGCGCTGTCAATTTACATATATATTGTACATTCACATCAGTTCCTAACCCTCAAGAGGTGTACAATCTAAGGTCCCTAACCCTCAAGGGGTGTACAATCTAAGGTCCCTAACCCTCAAGGGGCGTACAACCCAAGGTCCCTAACCCTCAAGGGGCGTACAATCTAAGGTCCCTAACCCTCAAGGGGTGTACAATCTAAGGTCCCTAACCCTCAAGGGGCGTACAATCTAAGGTCCCTAACCCTCAAGGGGCGTACAATCTAAGGTCCCTAACCCTCAAGGGGCGTACAATCTAAGGTCCCTAACCCTCAAAGGGCGTACAATCTAAGGTCCCTAACCCTCAAGGGGCGTACAATCTAAGGTCCCTAACCCTCAAGGGGCGTACAATCTAAGGTCCCTAACCCTCAAGGGGCGTACAATCTAAGGTCCCTAACCCTCAAAGGGCGTACAATCTAAGGTCCCTAACTCACATTCATACATACACATACTAGGGGCAATTTAGACAGGAGCCAATTCACCTACCAGCATGTCTTTGGAGTGTGGGAGGAAACCAGAGGAAACCTACGCAGGCACAGGGAGAACATGCAAACTCCAGGCAGGTGGTGCCAGGGTTGGGATTTGAACTGACGACCCGAGTACTGCCAGGTGGAAGTGCTAACCATTTAGCCACTGTGCTGCCCCAGTTCTTTGTGATCCTTTACAGCCGGGGGTCTCCAAACTTTTCAGTACAAGGGCCACATCATACAATGTACATTACACAAATATTCATGGGCTGGAAAAAAAAAAATTGGTTTTAAAAATGAATGTATAAAATTTAAATGAATGAATGTTTTACTTGGAGATGTTTTTAAATGACTTCAGTAAAACAAATCCACTAATAAAAGGTAAAAAAATAAAATCCATCTGCACCTCTCTTATCACATCGGAGACCCCATGGGAGTCACCCCTTTTATCAGGGTCCCATCAGAATCTCACTGACATCAGGGTCCCATCAGATCTACCCCCCCCTTACTGTACATTAGGGTCCCCATCAGAGCACCCCTTACATCAGGGCCCCCATCAGAGCCCCCTCTTACATCAGGGCCCCCATCAGAGCCCACTCTTACATCAGGTTCAACCCTTACTTTAGGGTCCCCATCAGAGCGCCCCCCCCTCTTACATCAGAGTCCCCATCAGACTCCCCCCTTACATCAGGAACCCCATCAGAGTCAATCCTTACATCAGGGTCCCCATCAGAGCCCCCCCTTACATCAGAGTCCACTTTACATCAAAGTCCCCCCTTAAATCAGAATCCTCCTTATATTAGAGTCCACGGCAGAGTGCCTCCATACATCAGGGTCAGCCTTTTTATAAGAGTCCACATTAGCTGTGGGTCACAACATATCTGCATCTTTTTCCTCTAATGCATCACACCACATGGCTGACATCTGTGCATTGTGGTGTACTATGTACAGTATATCACAGAAGTGAGTCCCCCCCCCTAAGTAACAAGGTCCAAATTGGGCCCAAAGTGTCAATATTTTGTGTGGCCGCCATTGTTTTCCAGCACTGCCTTAACCCTCTTGGGCATGAAGGTCACCAGAGCTTCACAGGTTGCTACTGGAGTCCTCTTCCACTCCTCCATGATGTCATCACGGAGCTGGTGGATGTTAGAGACCTTGCGCTCCTCCACCTTCCATCTTCTACTCCTCCATGACGACATCACAGAGCTGGTGGATGTTAGAGACCTTGCGCTCCTCCACCTTCCATCTTCTACTCCTCCATGACGACATCACAGAGCTGGTGGATGTTAGAGACCTTGCGCTCCTCCACCTTCCATCTTCTACTCCTCCATGACGTCATCACGGAGCTGGTGGATGTTAGAGACCTTGCGCTCCTCCACCTTCCATTTGAGGATGCCCCACAGATGCTCAATAGGGTTTAGGTCTGGAGACATGCTTGGCCAGTCCATCACCTTCCCCCTCAGCTTCTTTAGCAAGGCAGTGGTGGTCTTGGAGGTGTGTTTGGGGTCGTTATGTTGGAATACGGCACTGCGGCCCAGTCTCCGAAGAGAGGGGATCATGCTCTGCTTCAGTATGTCACAGTCCATGTTGGCATTCATGGTTCCCTCAATGATCTGTAGCCCCCCAGTGCCGGCAGCACTCATGCAGCCCCAGACCATGACACTCCCACCACCATGGGGCCCCAGACCATGACACTCCCACCACCATGCGGCCCCAGACCATGACACTCCCACCACCATGCGGCCCCAGACCATGACACTCCACCACCATGCGGCCCCAGACCATGACACTCCCACCACCATGCGGCCCCAGACCATGACACTCCCACCACCATGCGGCCCCAGACCATGACACTCCCTCCACCATGCGGCCCCAGACCATGACACTCCCACCACCATGCGGCCCCAGACCATGACACTCCCACCACCATGCGGCCCCAGACCATGACACTCCCACCACCTTGCGGCCCCAGACCATGACACTCCCTCCACCATGCTTGACTGTAGACAAGACACACTTGTTTATGTACTCCTCATCTGGTTGTCGCCACACACGCCTGACACCATCTGAACCCAGTCAGTTGATGTTGGTGTCATCAGACCACAGGAGACGGTTCCAGTAATCCATGTCCTTGGTCTGCTTGTCTTCAGCAAACTGTTTGCGGATTTCTTGTGCATCATCTTTAGAAGAGGCTTCCTTCTGGGATGACAGCCATGCAGACCAATGTGATGCAGTGTGCGGCGTATGGTCTGAGCTCTGACAGGCCGACCCCCCACCCCTTCACCCTCTGCAGCAATGCTGGCACCACTGACAGGCTGACCCCCCCACCCCTTCACCCTCTGCAGCAATGCTGGCACCACTGACAGGCTGACCCCCCACCCCTTCACCCTCTGCAGCAATGCTGGCAGCACTCATACGTCTATTTCCCAAAGACAACCTCTGGATATGACGCTGAGCACGTGCACTCAACTACTGTGGTGGACCATGGCGAGGCCTGTTCTGAGGGGAACCTGTCCTGTTACACCGCTGTATGGTCTTGGCCACCGTGCTGCAGATCAGGTTCAGGGTCTTGGCAATCTTCTTATAGCCTCGGCCATCTTTATGTAGAGCAACAATTCATAATTTCAGATCCTCTGAGAGTTCTTTGCCATGAGGTGCCATGTTGAACTTCCAGTGACCAGTATGAGAGAGTGAGAGCGATAACACCAAGTGTAACCCACTCGCTCCCCATTCACACCTGAGACCTTGTAACTAACGAGTCACATGACCCCGGGGAGGGAAAATGGCCAATTGGGCCCAATTTGGACCTTGTCACTTAGGGGTGGAGTCACTTTTGTTGCCAGCGGTTTAGACATTAATGGCGGTGTGTTGAGTTAGATTGTTATGTTCTCTGTAGATCAGCCTTCCTATATCTCTGGAAGGAAAGGTTTACTTGATGGGTGGGATCAATATAAAGGGAACACTGGGTACAGGGTCAGCCCACACAAAAGTGACAGTTTAGCTGTAGGTGGATCCAGACTTCTTATCTGCTGCGACAACAAGAACTCCCTTCCATAATTACCGACCCATCTCTGTGCGTTTCATCTCCTCCTATTACATTCTGTATAATGGAGAATAAAAATCACTCGGGGATGGTGGGAACCCCTCATAATGGGCACAGTGGGTGTACAGACCCAGGAACTCAGCACAGGGATGGTGGGAACCCCTCATAATGGGCACAGCGGGTGTACAGACCCAGGAACTTGGCACAGGGATGATGGGAACCCCTCATAATGGGCACAGTGGGTGTAGAGGACAGGGAACTCAGTGCAGGGATGGTGGGAACCCCTCATAATGGGCACAGCGGGTGTACAGACCCAGGAACTCGGCACAGGGATGATGGGAACCCCTCATAATGGGCACAGTGGGTGTACAGACCCAGGAACTCAGCACAGGAATGGTGGAAACCCCTCATAATGGGCACAGCGGGTGTACAGACCCGAGAACTCAGCACAGGGATGATGGGAACCCCTCATAATGGGCACAGCGGGTGTACAGGCCCAGGAACTCAGCACAGGGATGGTGGGAACCCCTCATAATGGGCACAGCGGGTGTACAGACCCAGGAACTTGGCACAGGGATGATGGGAACCCCTCATAATGGGCACAGTGGGTGTAGAGGACAGGGAACTCAGTGCAGGGATGGTGGGAACCCCTCATAATGGGCACAGCGGGTGTACAGACCCAGGAACTCGGCACAGGGATGATGGGAACCCCTCATAATGGGCACAGCGGGTGTACAGACCCAGGAACTCAGCACAGGGATGGTGGAAACCCCTCATAATGGGCACAGCGGGTGTACAGACCCGAGAACTCAGCACAGGGATGATGGGAACCCCTCATAATGGGCACAGCGGGTGTACAGGCCCAGGAACTCAGCACAGGGATGATGGGAACCCCTCATAATGGGCACAGCGGGTGTACAGACCCAGGAACTCAGCACAGGGATGATGGGAACCCCTCATAATGGGCACAGCGGGTGTACAGGCCCAGGAACTCGGCACAGGGATGATGGGAACCCCTCATAATGGGCACAGCGGGTGTACAGACCCAGGAACTCGGCACAGGGATGATGGGAACCCCTCATAATGGGCACAGCGGGTGTACAGACCCAGGAACTCGGCACAGGGATGATGGGAACCCCTCATAATGGACACAGCTGTTATACAGAACAGGGAACTCAGCGCAGGGATGGTGGGAACCCCTCATAATGGGCACAGCTGGTGTACAGACCCGGGAACTCAGCGCAGGGATGGTGGGAACTCCTCATAATGGGCACAGTTGGTGTACAGAACAGGGAACTCAGCGCAGGGATGGTGGGAACCCCTCATAATGGACACAGCAGGTTTACAGACCTGGGAACTCAGCACAGGGATGGTGGGAACCCCTCATAATGGGTATAGAA